CCCCGCTCGGAGCTCGCGGCGACCATCCCATCTCGCCGGCGACCGAGGGAGCTCGCAGCGCCCGGATCCTCCTGCGTATACAAGCGTTGCAACCGTCACCTAGAAAAGCTTCAACACCCGTTGAAAAAAGCTTCAACCATAGACATAGAAAGCTTCAACGGCACTGCACAAAAAGGGAAAGCTGCAACCGTTGTTGGATTTTGCTACTACCGGCAAAGCTTTTTGCTACATCCATCAGGCAGAGCTACGACCTCGCGAGGACGACAATGATTTTTTTGCTGCAACCATAGCAGGCTTTTTGCTACTACCGTTGGAGGTTTTTGCTACATCCAGTAGATAAAAAAGTTTCAACCAGACAACAAAATACAGGAAAAGTTACAACCGTTTTGACAAAAAGCTTCAACCCGCAGATGAAAAAGCTTCAAAAAAGAGATTGAGAAAATCCTCCTTCGACGACGACCATGGCGTATCTCTGTGTTTTTGTTGCAACCGCAGAGTAAAAAGCTTGCAACCTTTTTGTGAAAAAAGCTTCAAGCTCAGGTGAAAAAAGCTTGCAACCAGAGTCGCTCTTTGCTACAACCGTCCGTCGGCGATGCGAAACAGGCCGTGCAAGGAGCTGCGAGCGGCAGATGGGGATGCTACAACCGGTCGTCGAAGATGCTGGAACCGACGATGCGAGGAGCTGCGAGCAGTAGCGGCGATGCTACAACTGTCTAGGCGTGAAGCAATAACCCCTGGCGTTCTTTTGCTGGAAGCGGCCGCCGGCGATGTTACAACCTTCATCGGTGGATGCTACAGCCATCAATGGCGGGAGCTACAAGCAGCGATGGCGAATGGAAAGTCATGTCCATGGAGTCGATTTGCTGGGATGGGGGGCACGACGGTGATGGCGGAGCTACAACGGCGGCTGATGGCGGAGATGCGACGGTGTGTCGCGGCGCTGCAACCACGGGGCGGTCAGGGGAGCTGCAATGGCGACCTTGGGCACGACGACCACCTCGGGCACGACGCCGGCAACCTCGCGCGCGACGACGGCGAGGCGTGCGGTTGCGACAGCGCGGCAGACGGTGCGAGCCGGCGGTGCTTTGCGGTCGCGCATCCATGGCGGCCCCGACTGGCTCGCTCCTCTCTGTATGCGCTGGAGGCAAGGATAAGGTAAAAAAAGGTTGAAGAGGTGCTGAATCTGACGGTCTCGCACAGCCAGATCGGACAGCTGGGGCAGACCGGCCGAAACTTTCGGCCGGTGCACCGGCGCCCAGTGCTGGTCTAAAATTAATACTATAAACTGGAGTCTATTTTGGAACGGAGGGAGTAAATGTGAAATAGCAAAACTGAAAAAAAATACTCCTGCTTATTTTAAATCCTTCGGCTTCCTAAATTCAGGCCACGCCCTGCCCTACTTCAATCTTCCTTTTCCGTACGCCTCTGTTGCGCGGAGATGGCTGGCGCGAAGGACGACTGGCCGGCGATCGGCATCGACCTCGGGACGACCTACTCCTGCGTGGCCGTGTGGCGGCCGTCGCACAACCGTGTCGAGGTCATCCCCAACGACCAGGGCAACCTCACCACGCCGTCCTGCGTTGCCTTCACCGACACCTGCCGTCTCATCGGCGACTCGGCCATGAACCAGGCCGCAATGAACTCCGTCAACACCGTCTTCGGTAAGAACTAAGAACTCCTCACGCTGATCTGATCCTGCACCAGTTCAATTGACCTACACCCGGCCTTGTGTGCTTGTGTTGCATACATAGACTTAGTGCCCTCAAGATGGTCGGTCATATGTCTACACGCCGCCGGCTAAAGCTGAGGGACGTCCAGAGCTATCTTCGTGCTAGCTAGTGCATTCTAAAGGCTTCTTTAAAGGCAAAACTATGTGCTGGCCACCTGATCTCAGTCTACTAGTGTGCTTGAATTATTGGCAGTACTTCGATCTGCTGTTCTATACTCGTTAGGTTTCTCAGGTCCACGGGATTGTGCCACGGCGTTACATGTATAGACCGCAGTAGAGTCCCCAAGATGCTCTGAGCTTGATCAGATCCCCACCATCTTCTCTGAGCCTAGACCGCCGTTCAGATCCCTCCATCTTTTCCCTTTTTGCCTTGCCCTTTTCGTTGTTTGTGATGAAAGGATTATCTCATCAACTGTTAAGTACTCCTATTCACTAAAATCATTTAGTGTCACTGAAAACTAACAAATTATTATCTCACTGCATAATATTATAGGACAACCTCTATATTTTAATCTGAATATATTCAGGAAAGATTGCAGGTTTTTGACGAGCAAACACTGAATGGCTTATTGCTTTTGCTATGCCATTCGAATTCTCATCGGAATGAGTGGTTTTGAAAGCTCGATGCAAATTCTGTAAAACTATAAGAACCAATTTTAGAGAACTGCACGCTTAGCCATCAACCATATCACAAAACAACATCGAGTATGACATATAGGGTCCTGTTTCATGGAAAAGCATTGCACAGACTTAAAATATGTTCTTTGTGATGCAACTGATACCTAAATTTGTACTAGTTCTTTTTTTTTCGAGAATGAATTTGTACTAGTTCTGTAAGATCATCCTTGTGATATCTCCTATTTTCTTCAGACGCAAAGCGACTTATTGGCCGGCGATTCAGTGGCACGTCCGTACAAAGTGATATCAAGCTATGGCCTTTCAAAGTCATTCAAGGTCCTGGTGACCGGTCGATGATCGTGGTGCAGTACAGGGGGTTGGAGAAGCAGTTCGTTGCTGCAGAGATCTCCTGCATGTTGCTGATGAAGATGCGTGAGGTGGCCGAGGCCTACCTAGGCACGGTGGTGAAGAACGCCGTCATCACTGTCCCGGTCTACTTCAATGACTCCCAGCGCCAGGCTACCCTTGACGCCGGCACCATTGCTGGCCTCAACGTCATGCGCATCATCAACGAGCCCTCAGCTGCAGTCATCGCTTATGGTCTTGACAGGACGTCCAGCAGCAGTGAAGTGAAGACGGTGCTCATATTTGATCTTGGCGGCGGTACCTTGGATATCTCGGTTATCAATATTGACAAGGGAATCTTTACGGTCAAGGCCACTGCTGGTGACACCCACCTTGGTGGGGAGGATCTTAACAGCCAGATGGTGCAGCACTTCGTGCAGGATATTCTTAGGAGACACAAGAGTGACATCAGAAGCAACCCGAGGGCGCTCATGCGGCTGAGGATGGCTTGCGAGAGGGCAAAGAGGATGCTAACTTCCACAGTGCAGGCCAAAATTGAGATTGACTCGCTCCACGATGGCATTGACTTTTATGGGACCATCACTCGTGCCCGGTTTGAGGAGCTCAACATGGGCCTCTTTCGCAAGTGCATTGAGCACGTCGAGAAGTGCCTCATCGATGCCAAGGTGGAGAAGTCTCAAATCCACGATGTCGTGCTTGTGGGAGGCTCCACCAGGATCCCCAAGATTCAGCAGCTGCTTAATGATTTCTTCAACGGGAAGAAATTATGCAAGAGCATCAACCCTGACGAGGCTGTCGCCATTGGTGCTGCTGTACAGGCCGCCACCCTCAGCGGCGAGGGAAACCAGAAGGTGCAGGACTTGATCCTTCTTGTTCACACCACTCTCGCTCGGGGTAGAGATAGTAAGTGGTATCATGGGTGACCCTGGTATCATGAGCGTGCTGATACCCAGGAACACCACCATCCCCGTTAAGAGAGATGGGCCTTACACAACCATATACGACTTCCAGACCAGCGTGACCTTCCCGGTGTACGAGGGTGAAGGGGAGTTTACCAAGGACAACAACCTCCTGGGACAGGTCACTGTCTCTGGTATTCCCCCAGAGCTTAAGGGCATGGCACGACTCAAAGTGACATATGAAGTCGAAGCGAACGGTATCATGAGGGTGTCGGCGGAGGACCTGACGACTGGAAACAAGAGCAGCGTCACCATCGACAAGGGTGGGCTGAGGAAGGAGGAGATAAATCGCATGATGCGGGATGCTGGGAAGTACAAGTCCGAGGACAAGAAACAAATAAAGAAAATAAAGATGGAAAACGACAAGGACAAGAAACAAATGCAGAAGGAAAATGGCGAGGGTTGGCTGAGCAAGAAGGAGATCGAGGGCATGGTAAAGAAGAAGCGCATGCTGCAGGGTGCTGAGAAGTACAAGTCCGAGGACAAGAAGCAAGTAAAGAAGGAAAACAAGGAAGGTTGGTTGAGCAAGGAGGAGTTCGAGCGCATGTTGAAGAAGAAACGCATGGTGAAGGATGCCGAGAAGCACAAGTCCGAAGACAGGAAGCAAATAAAGAACGAGAGCAAAGGCTCGTAAGGTTTTCAATGCACTTAAGCAACGCTCATCTCACTCCCTTTGCTGCCATGGATGCTTAGAATAGTTACTGACAGTACTTCTCTGCAACTTCTGGAATGGGCATATGCTTCTCGCATTTTGCTTCATGTGATTTCGTAACCATGGTCCAGTTGGGTCATTATACATATTGGTTAGATATCTACGTACGTATATGTTTTGTAAAATGCACATTGTTGAGTGTAAGCTCATCAAAGATGGAAATATCCAGGAACAGGCTGGAATTCATCATGTAAAACAAAATCGAACAGCAACTCAAAGCCGGTGGTACAAGAAATCATACATATGGCCAGGAAATTGGTGGAGCTTCTTCGTCGTTGACATTCACAGTGAAGCGTGTAATCCCATTTACCGCTGTACATTTTGGTGCAGAGAGAGTGAAGTAAGACATCCAGCTGCTACACTTCAGTTTGGTTATATCAAGAGAAGAAAATCATATCTGTTGCGCTTACGCCTTTACAGGTATGACATTGAGAATTTAAGATTGTTTCTTCAAACTTCACCATCTGTAAACTGTAAAGATCACTGCCCATTTAGCAAAGCTACTTGAAATAAAATTATTGATGTATAGAGAATTAGAGATCAAGACAATAAAATGAAAAGGAAACAGCTGTTTTCGTCAAAAATCACTGGAACTAGTGGAACTTGTCTCGCCCAAGCCTCTGAAGATGCTAGTTGATGGTTTTGGCTGCATTCTTGGCTGTCAAGCGCGGTGCGGAGCTGCTGAAGGAGAACTGTTGTTGTGTGGCCCTCCTTTGCCTGGAGCTGATACCCCCGAGGAGTGAAGCCGTAGATTTGCTGGGATGTTAGTTGTAGCCTGCATCGCCTTCTAGTCGTTTTGGTCTGTTGGATTGGCAGGATTTCCTTTTTGGACGAGCTTTGTTGCACGGTGTTATGCGTCATATTTTGAGACTCTGGTTGTTTGATGGTCTAGGTTGTAGCTTTGTGATGGAGGGTGGTGTCAGGTTTTCGCCCCATGGTTCATACCTTGATTGTAGACATGAGCAGTGGGTTTCCTGACGGTTGCCCCAAACTCCTACTCTTTCTTTCCCACCTCCTGTATCACAATGTATTTCTGTTAAGATATTAAACGGAAAGGGGTAGCCCGGTTCCTTAAAATGTGTATTTTGAATTTATACTTGAAATTTCCTGGAATTGTAGACACGTGTCTCATGAATATTCACACAAAAAAAACATTGTTTATAATATTTAAATTTCTTTTTTGAAAGATGAAAAATGGTACTACAGCCCCAGCATTTATGTCACCGATATGGTCCACGGGCCATGGCCTCTCTGGTGCTCGAAGACACACCGCATGTCGATATAGTTGCCATTGTTAGTAGCTATAACTTTGTTCGACATGCCAGTGACACACCTTGCATGTAGGGTGTCTAGTGTTCGGTGGGGTTGGATCTAGGGTTAGGTTGTGGTGGGCCTCGAGGGATAGACCGGATCTGTCCTCGGAGGCCACGACTCTGGTGGCCCGTCTTCTAGGGCTGCCCCAGTGATGATGTTGGCTGACCCTAATGAGTCGTGCCCCTGGTTAAGGTGGGGCTCCCTGGATGTGGGTCGGCATCGGAATGTTCGGTCTTGACCGACTGCGGGTTCGCTCTGACATTGTCTGTCTTGGTGTTTGATTCTCAGACAGCCTGTTGTTTCGGTGGCGGTGGTGGGTCTGTCTTGGATGTCAGGGCGGCAACACTGGGTGGCGAGGTTGTGCGCTTGGCTCTGCAATGAGTAGCATCATCAGAGATGGTGCCCATTCTCTCGGCTACGTGGTTAGCGAGGGGAGGGGTAGCATGTGATCCTAGCCTCGTCATTTTGACAAGTGAAAACATCAATAAAGATCCCTACCTTTTGTGATTACAGGTGGTTAGTTCCTCAATCTCATACTCCCTCTGTCCCATAATGTAAGACGTTTTTTAACACTAGCGTAGTGTCAAAAAACGTCTTACATTATGGGATGGAGGGAGTAGTAATTTACGAATTTTAGTGGATTCAAGACTCGCATGAATTGAAGAACAACCATACTGTCAAGCCAATATATGAGTACATCAATTGTAATAACATCTTATGGGACGGAGTGAGTACGTGCTAACAGCATTTATAGTTGAAACAACATTTTCGGAGTTTACGGCTAAAGAAAAGAAACCCTAGAGAAGCCAATGTTAATAAACAGATTGTACTTTCTTTGGATTATGGATTTCTGTAATTTGTATATTCACATCCATGAAGAGATGGGACATGAAGTGTATAGTGTGTACATGTATGATTTCAGTCACTCTTCGAGCTTCCAGTTGCAAGTATACAGAAGCACGCCGTGTAACTGTGCCTACCGCCACAGCAATGAGAACAAACCACCTTAGGAACACTTTTGCCCCCGCACAGCGCACGCTACCAAAATACTAAAAAAAAACTGGCTAAATGTAACAAGAGCGTTATATACACTGTTTAGGCCTGAAGTTGTCAGGTTCCAAAAGTTTCAACAACAACTTCTCTAGCTTCCCCGAACCTTTAATCGGCCTGAGAACAAACGACCTTCCGAAAAAGGCACAGGGGTCTTTGCCACCCACCGGGCTACCCAGGCACCATCCACCTGGTGTGAAGCGGTCGGGCGCTCGCCTCAACAGCTCAGTGTCAATCATATCCAGGACCGGATCGTCACGCGTGAAAGAGTGCGCAAATGGCAGCCCGCTGTTCGCCATTGCGTCGAAGTACTCGGCCGTCAGGTTGAGAGGGTGCGTCTGAGGGGGGTTGTCCCACGCCATGAAACGGAGATCGCTATTAATGGTGGTGTTCTGGTAGTACTTTGAGTTGCAGATCACCGTGTGGAAGTATCCCTCCGAGGACGACAGGAAATTGGTGAAGTACATGAGCAGCGTGCGAGGAAGGTTGTCCCATCCCAATATGCAGAACTCCAGGAATGATCGGCTCAATATTACCCACGACGAACCTGCATCGGGAGAATAAGGTCATCGGTTAGAGCTCAAAATTTACACGACAACAAAGAGTAGCATTTGGCTGTTGGCAGTCAACATAGGCACATGTCAGTTCCATCTTCAAGAGAATAGTGGCTTCATCAAGGAAAATTTCCCAGATAACACAAAATTCCGCAGCCTCACATTGCCAGCCTGCTTGACACTATTAGGTCTGAGGCCTGACCGTGGGTGAAAGCAGGGGCAGTGGTTCTAGCAGCACTTCTACCAACTTAGGGGTGTTGTGTTGTAACTCCTGGGTGTGTCCCTTCTCTGGGCTTCTACACAAACTCTCTTTTTCCATCAATGCAAACAAGACACAAAACTTTTTGCGTTTTCTTAAAGGAAAAAAAGCATGTTATTATGACTATAGTAATGCCATAGTTCTACAGTGATATACTAATTTATTCCACAGTAATGTATGGGAATCTATCAGTATTGCACTCAAGAGATTATTCTTAACAGAAATAGAAGGTGATAGGCAACAGCAAAGCGTTATTTTGAATTAGTGCAGAATATTTCAACCGTGTTAAGTACAAAACAAGCATGAGACAATACCTACAAATATTTTGAAAGCTGAAGGCATGCTTCTTTTCTCCTTTGTTGTTACAACCTCAGTTTTGTTTGAGATCTGCAATGCTGGATCCACGATGATTGGTCTAGCCCTTTGATGCCTGCACATGCAACCAAAGAATCATGATAAAGAACATATCTGATCGCTAAGAAACACACCGAAATAAATATCCTTACTCCTTCCAACCAATATTGCTTGTGTGGTCGATAAAGTTCAGATCTCTTGGAAGATATGAGAAGATATGAAGGAGGTCTGCCACGGGCAAGAACAGGTATGTTAGTTTCAGAAGTGACACCAACTATTTTGGTACAGCACTGCAATCCATAAATGTGATCAACATACAGGTCTACGTCAGTAATTTGCTGTAACAACCAGGTAAAAATTGTGAACTCAAGTGATAAAGCTCCGGATCTCAAGGCTTAGTCAAGACCTGGAGGAGCTCTTGGGCCAAAAACCAGCAAGTGGACATGCGCCGTGGTTGGCGCTGTATTGATAACTAGGGCAGAAAGATACTCCCTCCGCTCACAAATATAAGATGTTTTGGATATTTCAATATGGACTACATACAAACTGAAATGAGTGAACAAACACACTAAAACGTGTCTATATACATCCGAGTTAGAAAAAAGTTAGAACATCTTATATTTGTGAACGGAGGGAGTAGAAGATAGCTACGAAAATACTCCTACTTCTTATCGTTTGCTTGGCTATCACGAGTACATAGCATAGCAGTCGCCAGTCCTTTCTATAGGAGACTCACGGCTAACTCAATCCTCATGGTCTCATCTAATTCAAACTCTGAGACCTATCCATTCCTAACATAACTCTTTACTCATAGAAACCTTAGGAATTACTAAAAGATACACTTCATGTCCTAAACTGCTGCATCTACTTCCTGTCTTCCAGCTGGGTTGACCTTCCTAGTGTACGACTGTGCGTAAAATCCCAACATAACATCAAGAAGTGCAAATGAGGCCAGAAGCACAAGCTATATTGGCTCTTTGCTCTGACACTCATTCCTTAAAATCATAATGATATTATAAATAGACATACAGCACCACCACTCGAGTTGATGTAACATCAGTAATATTCCAGTAGAATTTACACAAAATGATGAAGTTCACTGCTACTTTTTACCACAGCACAACATTTTCTGTGAAAGGAACACCAATAATGTCTAGCCCAATAACCTAACTCATTAAATTCTTAGTATTTATTGCAGTATTTTCTACGAAAGGAAAACCAATACTGCAATATTTCAACGAAAGGAACACCAATGCTGCAGTATTTGTTGCAATTTAATTGAGACAATGGCAACAGCTGAAATACTTGGTGAAGTTTGAGTGTCGTTGCAGAGTTACGGAGGCACACCAAGTTTCCAAAAAAATGTCAAGATGTAACTGGATCGCCAGTGTGTTGAACATGGTAATGTATCTAAACTCAGTCTGAACTTATCCTTTAGCAATACTGGACTACACCAAAGGGCAAAATAGCACTATTTTAAAACATAACAGAATAACTGGCTGTAAGGAGTTCTAGCAAATGAAAACCTTACAGAGCAGCATCATAAGGGCATCTACCACTTGGAGAACAAGATATCAGACGGTAGAGAACTAGATAACAGACCCAAGCTTGGCGAAACGGATAGGTGACACAAAGAAGTCCATAATCCAAAGCTCCTAAATGAAGCGAAGCTACAACAAGCTAGCACTAAGGCGCACAATCTGTAGTTTTGATAGCAGACCCAAGCTACAACAAGTGTACTAGATACTCTAAAATTAACAAGCAAAGGCACGCTTAGAATTGCAAGCTAATCGGGGGCAATCCATCCAGGAAGGAGCTGAAATTACCATCTTGGGGCATGAGCGGGTAGTCGGAGGCGCTGAGATTGATGAACCAGCTCCACCCGTCGAACTCCCTGAGCAGCAGGGCGGCGCCGTGCAGCGTGGCGGCCAGCTCGGTGGGGCCCCGGCGCGAGACCACGGGCCACTCCCCCGCCGCCGCGACCCGGACGTTGCCGTACCTCCGCGGCGCCTCCTCGCCGCGCACGAACGCCTCGAGATCCGCGCGCTCCTCCTCCCCCGAGACTCCGACGAGGTAGTAATTCCAGGGGTGGTAGAGCGCCCGCAGGAGCCGGCGGATCCGCGGGCCGTCGCCGGGGCCGCCCGAGATGAGGTACGCCAGCCTGGGCGGCGGCAGGGGCTGCTGCTGCTGCTGCCTGCCCCCGAGCCGCGGCGGGGAGGGCGGCTGCTGCGTGCGCGCCGGCCCGAGCGCGGCGTAGAGGATCGGGAGCGAGAGGAGCGGGAGCGCGAGCAGCAGCGAGCGCATCCACCTGTGGCGGCTCGCCTGCGGCAGGTGCTTCCTCATGGCCGCCCGCCCGTCGTCGGAGGCGCCTTAGGCGATGGGGAGGGCTAGAGCCCCGGCATTAGGTCGCTCGCCGGCGGCGTCGAGGCGCACGGACGGGGCACCTATCGGTGAGCCGGACGGGGGGGCTCGGTCGCTGGCTGCTGGTGGAGGTGGAGGGATGCGAGCGGAGCAGAAGCTGCTGCTGAGTGCTGAGCTGGTGTGACTGCGAGTGGAGATGGCGAGGCCGCACCGTTTCGTGCAAGCAACTCGGGAGCCGGGACGGGTGCGTACGGTACGACGCGGCGTGCGCCGTGCCCTGATTATTGTAGCGGCTGACGCGCGGAGCTTCTGCTCTTGTAGCGATGCGACGACATTTACGATGCCGAGGCGAGGCCAAGATTACCAAATTAACCCCGAACGACAAGATCAGTATGAAATGACCCCGGAAAGTGCATCTTCGATTGTGGCTGAGGCTCCATGGAACCCTTCGTTTTCTTTTCACCGAAAATGCTTTTTCTGCACTTCTAAATAATCTTAAAAAAATGTACACGCAGCCATAATAACCAAAATAATTGAAAATGGTATACGCATGAAATTTCATGAATCATTGTTTGAAAAACCGAAAGATCAAGGTGACCTTGACATTCATGACCTACAAATTTAATATCTTACTTAGTAAATGATTGTTTCCTATCATGCCTCTTACGCACATGGTTTTGTAATCCCAATGCTACTTCTCTTCTTCTATCAATGAAAAGATATATAACCTGAGGATGTCGTTTGACAAATCCTGTTGCACTTTTGGGCTGGTCTAATGGATCCTTTCCGCTTTGCTTCAACGGTAAAATGACGGGTCGGAGATTCGTTTCTGGGAGGATATCTGGCTAGCCAATGCCAACCTCCGAGAACAATATCCAATTTTGTACCGTGTTGTTCATGATAAGAATGATACTCTTGCGCAGGTGCTCATTTCATCCCCGCGGGACTTTTTTTTTCCACGGGATTTGATCGGCCTCCATGGCAAAATCTGTTATCCCGATTGATTTCGCTTAACCTGACACAAGGGCGAGATGTGTTTTTTTTACGAAAAACTTCTAATCTATGTATCTTCAAACATGGTAGTACAACTAACACTAGAAATATCACGGTTGACTATATGTACCATGAACTCACGAATTTAGAGGTCTCAATGGATAATAACAAGAAAATTTGGAAGTTGAGAATTTCACTAAAAATTTAAATCATCATGGGGAACTGTAGTGACCAAAGAAAACCTCGTCGGTCGCAATTGGCAAGGAAGAAAGAAGTGTACCTTTTGTGCTCACGTTGAGATAATCTGACTCCTCTTTTTCTTGTGTGCGTGTGTGTGTGTGTGTGTGTGTGTGTGTGTGTGTGTGTATTTACATATTAAGTTCATGTCTTATACTCCCTCCGTCCATGAATAAGTGTACTTCTAGCTTTTGTCTTAAGTCAAAGTTTTAAAACTTTGACCAACTTTATAGGGAAAAGTAGCAGCATTTATGACACTAAATTAGTATCACTAGATTCATTTTGAATTGTAATTTCATAATATATCAATTTTATGTCATATATGTTACTACTCTTTTGTATATATTTGGTCAAAATTTTAAAACTTTGACTTAGAACAAAGGCTAGAAGTGCACTTATTCGCGGACGGAGGGAGTAGTTCCTTATATTTGAATTTTGGCATGTATGTATCTATTATTTTTTGACTTCTAAATTTTATAAAATAATTGATGTCAATGTTTTTTTTGTGGGGAGATGTCAGTGTTGATTGTGTTATGGAGGATAGGGAATGAGCCTTGGCATTATGGTCTTATAAGAATGTGTATTATACTAGTGTCAAAAATGAGGTGGAGTGGATCTCGTCTCTTGCCGGTGGGAGGGCTCCGTTTTTAGATCTTTTTTCGAGCTTTGTTAGGGTTTGTGTCCTGCTCAGGAAGACAAGACGGTGGCGGCTCCCTGAAGATGGAATAAAGGTCTCCCCGCCTAGCCCCCGTTTCGATGATGCGTCGAGCATCATCGGTGGACGCGTGGAGATGTGTCTCTGGCGGATCTGTCTTTGGTGGATTTGCTCGGATATGTTCGTCGTTTGTTTTCGTTCGTGTGTCTTCTGATTGGATCCTTCTGATCCACACTCTTTATCCGCGGCGGTTGCTGTTCTGGTGTGTTGGTTCTATGGGTCCTTAGCACGACGACTTTTTGACTGTCTACTACAACAAGGTTTGCCCGGCTCGGCGAGGGAGGGGAGATGATAGCGACGCGCCTTCGGCTCGCTTCAGTGCTTATAGTCGTTGCTAGGTGGTCTATGGATCTGGATGTAATTTTTATTATTTGTAGTGTTCGTTGTACTACCATAATTGAGGATGAATAGATTGAAAGTTTTTGCAAAAAAACGCTTATATATTTTGAAACAGAGGGGGTATCTCCGTTCTTGATAAACCACACACAATGATAGGGACGTAGGGAGTAATTACCAAAACTTGGTAATTCTTTCCTTTGTTTGCAAGGACAAAGGTCGTGACCAAAAATTGTGTGTCCTACCCCTATGCGTATGAGGGACCACAAAAAGCCTCTAAGTCGTACGACGTGCGGTTCGATGCCCGTAGAGTTGATTTTCGTCAGGGCACGTTTGAATTGCACGAAGAGAAATGTTTAGAGTAGTAGTACTATTATTTCTTAACGATGGGCCGCACTTATGCACATGTTTACGCATCTCTCCGGGTCCCGATACGATCTGT